AGTGTGTCAGAGATGAAGAAGATGGCACAGGATAGGGGATGGTTTAGGTTTGTTGTTCATAGGTTCGCTATGTGTTGTGCTCTACTTGATGACACTTAACAACAAAAATAATTCCATAATTGTGGAAAAGAAGGGAAAGAATCCTCTTAGCGGTTGAAGTATTTTCTCTTAAAAATTTAATTGTGTCAGCCTGCCTCAATATAACTTGGTGTTTGAGAGAAAGAAAATATCAGAGATGGAAAGATAGAATGTGATTGTAGAGAAAAAGTTCATGGTTGGTTGTATCCATTTAAAATAGATTGAACTGTTGACAAAGAATCAGACTCACATTCCTCATAGAGAGCCACATTCTAGAACTGAAAGAGAAGAATGCTGTGATTTACTGATGTGGAACCTGTGTATGAAACAAAAAAGCAGTTGTTAGAAAAAAGAGGATGCTACATGGTTAAAACTAGAAAAGGTGCGTATCAGGGCTGCATTCTTTCACTATACCTATTTAGTTTGAGGGGGTATTCCTTAGAGAAATAACTGATGTTGGGAGGGTGGAGGGTCAGTGAAGGAGATGAAGACCCTCAACTAGGTGGATTGATACGGTGACTGCTGCAATGGAATCTTGTGTGTCAGGAAGTGTGAGGATGGCGCAGGATAGAACGGGGTTCAGATCTTTTGTTCATAGGGTCGCTATGAGTCATACTTGATTCAACAGCAACTAACAACAACAGTAACTATAACAACAATTCAGTTTGTATACTGAGCAAATAATTTAGGAAGCTGGACTAAATGAATCGGAACATGGGCATCAGAATTTGAAGATTCATCTGTGATACTCATTTGGTGACACACCCTTACTGCAGAAAATGAAGAAAAAACTTGAAGCACTTACTGAAGATCTAAGACTAAGATTACAGCCTCCACTATGGGTTGCAGCTCAACATAAAGAAAACAAAAATGGATACATTAGCAACTTCAAGGTAGATTGTTGCAGAATGTTGGTGAGGAAAGGAGTGTCTCTGACGAGGAGGGGTCACCTGAGCTCCAGACAGGTGCAAGCCTCCCAAAGGCCTTTAATGCGGGGTAGAGAAAGCTCCCCTGTGTTTGGCTGTACCGGCTTGAGAAAGCTCACCACCTCGAAAGACTAGCTGCCACATCTGTTGAGCTGGGAGTGGTCTGCATCAGGCTGAGGTTCTCCTAATCCATCCACATGTTCCACGTCTGCAAGCCCACCCTATCCTGCCTTCCTGTGTATATAGGTGCACTGAAGATCCCAATAAAACCGAGCTGGATTGACTATCTGATCCTCTCCCCGGGTGGTATATCTCCATTGTGCTTACTCCCATCAGGGTGTTGCTGTTAAGTTGCCGGTGAGCTGACAATGACAGTAGATGGAAAAAAGATTAAAATTGTCAAGGATTTAATTTTACTTAGATCCATGAGCAACACCTATGGATTCAGCGGCCAGGAAATCATTGGACAAATTTGTTGTCAAAAATCTCTGGCTTTGAATACTAAGGTGCACCTGACCCAAGCCATGGCATTTTCGTTTGCTCCATATGTATATGAAAGTTGGACAATGAATAAGGAAGACTGAAAAATCAATACTTTTGGGTTGTGTGTAATGTTAAGGAAGAATACTAAATACACCACAGACTGTCAAAAGAACAAATAAATCTGTGTTGGAAGATGAGCAACCAGAGTACTCCATTAGAGGCAGGGATGGTAAAACTGTCTCACATACTTTGGGCATGTTTTTAGGAGGGACCAACTCTTAGAATGGACATCATGCTTAGGAATGTGGAGGATCAGAGAAGGAGAAGATTGTCAGTCAGATTGACACCTGAATGCAAGAACGGGCTTGAGCACAGTGAAAATTGTGAATAGCAGGGGCGGACAAGGTTTGGGTCTGTTGTTCACAGGGTCATGAACAACACCTGTGTTTTGATAGGTGGATTCTCGTGTTGACACACGTATAACCACCCATGATAACTCATGGAATATATAAACTTAACATACCTTAAGATTTGTGATGGTCTAGACTTGTCGAGTCATAATGCCTTCCCTCACTGCCCTCTCCTCCTAGTTTATATTATTTACCAAATGGAGAAGCAACAGTACATAGGAGTGATATAAGTTGAGCCATTGTCTGGCACAGGCTTAAGGGTTTTAAAGTCTGGAATTAACTGCTGTTCTCACGAGAACACTGAAAGAAGTGTCATTCAAATCCACATTTCCCATGTGGTAGGACTAAATCCTTGAGAAACTCAGTGACTAGCCAGTGATCCCGTAGCCAGTAACTGGGCTGACTGACTGTGGTGTCCTGTGCTTTGGAGCCGCACCTGCTGCTTTCTGTGTTTAGTACTTGACAGGTGCCTTTGCTCAAACATTTCTCCCTACTAGAATTAAGTGCTATTCCATGGTCCCACCTTCCCTCAGCCTCCAAGTGCAGCCCAGATGCCATCTTCTTTATGAATTACCTTGGTTGTTGGGATCTCATTACCAAATTCCTTTAAGTCTTGATTACACAAATTGTCACAAATCAGCAATGTGAGCATGGCTTGAAAGCTGATTGGAAGTGTAGATTCTAAAATGTACCCTAGATGTCGTGAATTTGAATCTGTATGAATTTAAACAAGAGTCCCAGTTGGTGTGTATGTATAAGAAGGCTTGAAGGCTGAGGTAGGAACAGAGTGTTCCCTAGGGAAATGTGATGCTCATCCAAAGGCTTATCTTTCTGGCAGTTTGAACCACCAGGGAGCTCTGAGGGAGAAAGATGTGCAGTCACCACCTGTGAGATTTACATCATCTGCAAACCCACTGGAGGGTCAGCGAGGAGTCAGTTCCAATTCAAAAGTGCTAGGTTTGTTGCTTTTTTGTATGTGTTAGGGAGGTCTGGTGGCCTAGTGGTAAGGAACAGTGCTGGTTCAAATCCATCAGCTACTTTCATGGGAGAAAGGGACAATCCCTTCTCGGGCAATTACTGTCTCTGAAAACCCATTGGAGGGCCAATTATGAATTGGTTCTGACTTGGTGGCACATAATAACAACAACAATAGATCTGTTTGGAGATATGGTGGCATGGTCCATAAGGGGCTAATGCAAAGTCCCTCTTCTGTGTTCACATCTACCCATGCCTACACAGAACAAAAATGGGCAATTCCCTCCTCTATGAGTCACAGTCTTAGAAACCCAGGGAAGGCTTCGCTGTGAGTCTGTCTTCCCCCAGATGACAAGTATGTTTTAGTGTGTCTGTTAGGAAGAAGCCTTGGCAGCTTACTGTTGCACTCTTAACTGAAAGGTTAATAGCTTGAATTCACTAACTGCCCTGTGGGATAAATACAGACGTTTCCTGCTATAAAATTTTACAGCTGTAGGCACCCAGTGGAGATAAGCTACGAGTCAGAATTGATGCAGTAGTGGCTTGGTTTTTTTTGTTTTTGTTTTTTTTTTTGTTTGTTTGTTTGTTTGGTTGGTTCTGGTACTTTTGCTAGGAGTCCTGCTGGCACAGAGACTAACCCCTGTTGCTAATTCCAATGTGTGTGGCTCAAATTCACTAGCTGCTTCTTGAGAGTTAGAAGTAGCAAACATGTGTTTAAAGATTATTGTCTCAGCAACCATGAGGGGCAGTTAGTTTTGCTCTGTCATTCTGGGTCATTGTTAGAATCTACTTAATGGCAAGGATTTTTGGTCCTCCTTTGTTGTTTTATCTGTTATCTACATGCCTGTTTTGTACTTTTGAAGGAGTCCTGATTTGTGTAAAGGGTTAGTCTTGATTATCGACCTAAATGTCGGTGGTTCGTACCTACCAAGTTTTGCTGTGAAAGAAGGGTTTAGCAATCTCCTGGTGAAAGACCAGAGCTGTTGAGAACACTATGGTGCCCAGTTGTCCTCTGAAACACATGGGGAAATCATGAGGCAGTAGCAAACTGGATGGCAACAGGCTTGACTTCTCTTTGCCTCATTTTCTTTTCTAGGTCAAAATCTATTATACTCTTTAGAATAGTTTCTGTTGCTGTGCCACCGGAGCCACCTCTGAGGATGATTTTCCTTGCAATGTTTCCATAAATCTATGCTTTTGATAATGTTAAATGACACAATATCGATGTGTTGAATTAAGCCCTCCTTCCTTCTCTTTGCTTTTCGTCTACCGTTGAGTCTTTGGAACACAACATTTTACATCGCCAGAGCACATGTATGAATATCACAGAGCTAAAGAAAAATCAATTCTTAGCAAATAGAGATACCAAAAGCTGAAGGCTCCAATCAATTTTATGAGAGAAGTTTTATAGCGTGTGCGTCTGCAGTCAGGACACTTGCTGTCTTCCAGGAACCTTAGAGGAGAATTTTGTTTTGACAGAAATTTGATTCTAAGTTTTATTTCAGAGCTAATTCTGTTAGGTAGAAAAGTGTCAGTCACTATAGATATTTCTGTACTGTTGCTTGCTATTTCTACATCAAGAACCAATAAAAGTGTTGATTTTTTTTGAATGATCAGTGTGTATTTGCTTGTTCCTTATTTAGACCCAGTGTTTGCATGCATTTGTAGCTCTAAATGTTCCCTGTGAATGTGACTGACTGATTATCAAGATTGGCAGATGCTAGAGCTCCTCCATCAGCTGTGTGTGGCTGGCTGCCGTCTGGCTTCTTTTTTTATTCCTTTTTTTTTTTAAACGGAATATATAATTGGAATACATGCATGGGAAGAAAAGAGGGCAAACACAAATAAGTGCCAATTGTTTTCACTCGTACAGATTCCATTTCAGCAGTCAATATGACCTCTTACAAAGTTGGCAAGTCTAAAAATGGTCTCCACATAAATCTACTCTTGGGAGCTGACAAGATTCTCCCATTCAGGGAGGTTTCCACTTCATCTCTTTTTAGAATTCTTTTCCTCACTGGTTGAGGGTGTGTGTGTGTGTGTGTGTGTGTGTGTGTGTATGTGTGTGTTGTCTTAGTGAGAGGCTCCCTTCCCACCTCAGTCATTGGTTTGCTCACTCCCTTATGTGATGAATCAATGCTTCCAGCACGGGGGGCTTCTGAGTGTCTGCGGGAACAATTACTTCCAAATGAACCCATGCATCTTAGCGGGGAGCAGTCAGACCACACCCCAGGTAAAGGGAAGTCTTTCCCTAATGCTTTCAATCACTTTTAAAGACAGTGCACTATGCTGGTGGTGGTTGCTGCACGCGGGTCTGAGGGAGAGTTACCTGGGTGTGGATCATTTGCCTGTGTAGCAAAATGGAATGTTATCTAGCAGTTAGTGGGAAGAACAACAACAAAAAAAAACCAAACAAAAAAAAAAAAAGAAAAGAAAAGAAGAATGCTTAAGGAATCACTCAAGATTAGGTTCAGGACTGCCCTGGGCATAGTTAGTGTTAATGAAGGATAGTCTGCAGTGACTGGCTTCAGCAGGAGGCTAGTGGCCATCTGTGACTGTGGGTGTCAACATCGGAAGGGAGGCAACATGTAAGTGAAAGTAAGAAAGCGACGCGTGACAAACGCAAACTGAGCAAGCGAGCGGTAAGCTTGCATGGCATGGGGGGGGGGTGGGAATCCTCAAAATATTTTTGAGCTCTCCGGTGAAAAGGTGACAATCTTAGAGGTTTTTTAAAAGCACGTCAAACCATGTCTAGGAAAATATTTTCCTCATTTCAGCTTTAATTTCTATTATTAAAATGATTTTCCACGGACAGGAACCAAGATGTTTAATCAGCACTGGCAAATGAAAGTGTTAACTGGAATTTAAAAAGTGCAAGATGCTCTTAGCATTCATCTGTTTCTGCTTTATGTAGAAAATGATTTTTTATCCTCAGAGCAATTCATTTTGGGGTTTTATTGGAACTTGGCTGCAGTATGCAGTAAACAGCAAATAGTCTTTCTTTCCTGAACAAGGGACTCAGCAACCTACTCCCTAACATGTGACTCTTCATCTGAATGTTGCTTTGGGTTGCTAGTGTGATTTCAAATCCTCCCCCAATGGAAATTCTGTGTAAATGAACATTAGGTCCTTGATAAGATGGGAAGATGTAAGAAAAAAGCAAAGCAGAGAGATTTAGCGAACATTGTACCACTAGCTTAAAAGTGATTATTAAACTATCGTTCTTTGTGTAATTGTTCTCCTAAAGATACCAGTGTGGATGGTAATTCATCACTGATCTTGTTCACCAACCAGAAAAATGAGTATTTTTTTTTGTCTTGTTAGATGTTTTAGCTTTATTGTATTCTTGAGTAACATCATATATTGGCTCTACTGAAATCTGAAATTGTTCTCTTGTGCTGGTGAAGAAATTTTATACAGAATACAAATGTTTTTGTTGTGTGCTGTTGAGTCTGAACAGACTTATACCTGACCCTCGAGCAGGTTTTCAGAGGCAGATAAATGAATGAGAGGAGCTTTCCCACCCTTTCCTCCTGTAACGTAGCAGCTGGTGGAGTCGAAATACATGCCTTTGATATTGCAGCATAGATTCACAAAAGGAAATAATTCTTCAATTTAGGTGCCTCAGTTATCAGCATGTAGTATTGCTATGTCTATCTATCTATCTATCTATCTATCTATCTATCTATCTATCTATCTATCATCTATGTATCATCTATCGTCATCTTATGAAGACTATTAAGACTCTTGTTTTTATTCCTACTTCATTTCCATTTTATTAACTAAAGTTGAAGCTGTTAAATTTTAAAGTCTACATGTGAATGTCAATGATTGAGATCTATTTTTCTTCTAGGCATTTAAATGTCCTTGAAACATACTAATTATACAAGGTTTTAAAAACATCTACTATGGTCATTTAATATGTTTTCGAAGGCAAAGGCACTTAGGAATAATGATTACAGTATGACAACCATGAGTCACTTTTACTGACGTTCTTAATGCTCTATTTAAATGTTCTTTGGATAGAGCCATGGATCGACCTGTTGTCATTTTAGAGGGCTTAAGGGTAGAGAGTGTTACCTCGCAGTATTGGTGAGCTTAGTCATGTAAAGAAAACTTCCTAGAACATAATCCACCTTATATTGAATTGCTGATAGGACTATTTGGCCTCCTAAATCATACAAGAAAATCTAATTTTCCTTTCTACAAGGAAGATCATTGATCTGTTATTTTCCAAAGACAAGTTACAACCTTGGAAATGTGACATGACTACCAAGAGGGAATAATGACAAAGATATTGAAGGTAAAAAAGAATGTTGAAAAGTAAAAGTTAACTCAGGAGGGATTGTCTGTGCATTTTATACTCTGCACCACATTACTCAGAGGAATATGTAGGAGGATCCCTAAGTTAAGACAAAATGGTTAAGCATTCAACAGCTAACCCAAAGGTCAATGGTTTGAAACCTCCAGCTGCTCAGTGGGAGAAAAGACTTGATGTCCTATGACAATTACAGCCTTCAAATCCCTAAGGAACATATCTGTTTCGCTCCATAGGACCACTGTGGGTCAGAATCTGCTCAGTGACACACACAACAACCTCAATGATTCAGGACTTGACTGCTAAGGAAAACATTGGCAGTTTGAACCCAGCCAACATTTCAGCAGGAGAAAGAACTGTCCGCTTCTATAAAAATCGTAGCTCACACAGTCCATCGATTAGGTTCTCCTCTGTCACATGGGGGCTGCTAAGAATTGGAACGGCTTTTTAGCACTTAAGCAGCAAGTAATATGCATTTTTTTTCCCTATAAGGCACAGGCGTTTCAGTTATTAGAAAGTTACACTTTCCAATAGGTGGTCTTGCCTCTGAAAACCCACTGGAGGGTTATCTATGAGTTGTTTCTGATTCTTTGGCACACAGCGACAACATGTGGTCCAGAGTTTACTTTTTTTAGAATGTTTATAAAATCTCTTACTAAGTTATCCAGTTTTGTTTGTTTGACATTATATACGTAAGAGAATTACTTGTTGACAATCTAGCATCCCAGTTAAACATTCCAGGCTGTACCTTGTGCCCCATGCCTCACATTTGCTGACAACTTGCTCCCGCTGCTCCTTGAGCTGTCAGTCTCCTTCTGTAGCCCCATCTCCACCCACTGTGTAACTTTAATTTTCACCCAGATAATTCAGTAAAGTTTCTTGGTTCACAGGCCCTCAGCATTTTAAACCTCTGTGTTCTTCCTTGTGTCTCATCCCTCATAATCAGTCTCATGGCCAAAGTTGGATCTTATACCATTTGGAATTACCAGACTTTTAAATAACAACATTTTATTTGCCATACTGTGACCCTTGACCGCTAACCAGTCCTGTCACTTACCATCCTTTCAAATCTATTTTCCAAGTCACAAATATTGCTGGTCTTGACATTATGGCCAGTCTCTCTTACCCATTTTTACAGTATGATTGAGTATTTGCTATAGTCTCATCAGTACCTAAAATTCCTTGTATTCATATCCTTCTTGCAAAACCACTTCCAAATATCAACTCTAAAAATGTTACCCATCACTTTCTGTGTTCCTGTAAAAGACAGCTAAGCTTTCATGGACAGAATATCAAAGAACTTTTTGCTTCATTACTATTCATGGCTTTTCATTTGGGTTGGGCTCTCATGGTATGACAATACTTTTGTTAGTATTTTACTCAAAGATATTCCAGGCTTTTAAATTTTCTTTAATTCCTCTGAGTCACTTTTATTAATTCTTTCTCAGTTGCTGGATGACTTAACGTTAAATTCTGTAAAGTTCAATCTTAAATTTCCACTGACCCTCCCTACATTTATACTTATTTTTCAGAGATTTTTGTCTAGCTGATTGTTTTAAATACAACTGATAGTCTAAAAACCCTAACAATTATATCTCTAGCACAGATTTTTTTTCTCTCAACTCTGGACTTCCACTTGGGTATGTATAACCTAAAACTAAAACCAAACTCAATGTGATCAAGTCCATTCATGTTGTTGTTATTAATGTGTTACCGAGTCACCTACGACTCATGGTGACTCAAAGTACAATAGCTCTGAACTCTGCCCTGTCCTGAGCCAGGTTCACTGTCTCCAACATAGCTACCTCCATTATCTCAGTTACTGGGTCAATCCAACTCATTTTGGATTTTCTTCTCCTTCGTTATCCCTCTACCCTTCCTATCATGTTGTCCTCCAAGGACTGGTCCCTCCTGCCCACTTACCCAAACTATGTGAGACCGAACTTCACAATCCTTATTTCGAAGGAGCAGCCTGATTTCAACCCCTCCAAGACAGACTTATTTGTTCTCTTGGTGGCCCATGGTATGTTCATTCCTCTTTTGTAGCACCACAACTCAAAGGCGCCAAATTATTTTTCTGTCATCCTTAGTCATTGTCCAGCTGTCTGATGCATAGCAATTAATTATAAAGACTTAATTAGGTGCACCATAATCTCAAGAATGACATCATTGCTTTTGGTATTTGGGGGGAGTTCTCTGACCACAGATTTTCCCAATGCAATTAATCTTTGGATTTCCTGACTACTGGTACCAAGAGTGTTGATTGTGATACAAGAGCAAGCTTAAATTGTTAACAATCTCATTCTCTTCTCTATCCATCGTGGTGCTTCCAATCAACCCAGTGGTATGAATCTTTGTCTTTTTGATGTTGAGCTTCAATTCATATTGAAGATGACAGTACTTGACCTTCTGCAGCAAACACTCTAGGACCTCCTCAGTTTCAGTAAGAAAGGTTGTGTCATCTGCATAATGCAGGTTGCTGATGAATCTTCCTCCAATCCTAATGCCACATTTCTCCCTCATAAAGTCCAGCTTCCCAAATGATCTGTTCCGCATCCAGATTGAAAAGGTATGGCGATAGGACACATCTCTGATGCACTTTTTTCCTGATTTTAAACCATGCAGCGTTTCCTTGCTCCATTCTGAGGACTGCTTGCTGGTCTAAGTATAGGCTTTGCAAGAGCACAATCCAGTGTTCTGGGATTCCCATTCTCCTCAAGGTTAGCTATAATTTGTTGTGATCCACACAGTCAAACGTCTTTGCATAGACAATAAAACACAGATAGACATTCTTCTGGTACTCTTTGCTTTCAGCCAAGATCCATCTGATATTGTTGATAATGTCTCTAGTGTCACAGCCTTTTCTAAACTCATCTTGTATTACTGGTAGTTCTCTGTCAATATATTGTTCCAGGGTGGTTGTTGTTGTTGTTTTTAATATTCAGCAGGATTTTGTTCATGTGTTATATTAATGATATTGTTCAATAATTTCCAAACTCAGTTGCATCACCTTTTCTTTGGAATGGGAATAAATATGCATCCTTTCCAGTCAGCTGGTCAGTTGTCCTCCAAATTTCTTGGCACAAGTTCCAACAATAGCATCTAACCCCACAAAAGCATCTGTTTGTTGAAATATGTCAATTGGTTTTCCATCAATTCCTGGGGCCTCGTTTTTTTGTCACTTCCTTTAGGGCAGCTTGAACTTCCTCCTTCATCACCATTGCCTCCTGATGATATGTTCTTTAATGAAATTCTTCTGTGTCAGCCAGTTCCTTTTGGTACAGTGATTCTGTGTACTCCTTCCATCTTTTAATTCTTTCTGAACTACCTATAGTATCCTTAAGTATTCCAGCTTAAAGCTTTAATTTGTATTTCAATTTCTTTAGCTTGAGAAATGTCAAGTGAGTTCATCCCTTTTGATTTTCAGACCCTAGCTCTTTGCACACAAGTCATTATAAAACTTTCTTTTGACTTCTGCAGTTGCCCTTTGAAATCTTCAGTTCAGCTCCTTAATTTCCTGATTTCTTCCCTTTTCTCTGGCTTCTTCATACTCTAGTGCAACATTAAGAGTCTTTTCTGACCTTGATCTTGGTCTTGTCTTCCTCCTCTGTCTTTGTAATGACCTTCTGCATTCTTCTTGGATGATTTTCTTAATATCCTCCCACAGTTTATCTAGCCTTAATTCATTCATTTTCAAGGCCTCAAATATGTTCCTGAGATGGTTGATAGGTTTATGATAAGCTCAAAGTCAAATTTTCATTCCTGTGGATTTAACTTTCTTTAGCTTTAATTTGAATTTGCATATGAATGGTTGATGGTCTGTTCCACAATTGGCACCTGGCCTGGTTTTTACAATTGATATTGAGCTTCTCTGTAATTTTTTCCACAGATGTAATCTATCTGATTCCTGTGAATACTATCAGGTGAAATTCATGTCCACAGTCACCATTTATGTTTCATATAAAAGGTATATGCAATGAATAAATCATTAATTATGCAAAATTTTATCTTTCTATCTCCAGCCTTATTCTTTTACTAAGTTCATATTTTCCAACTACTATTCCTTCTTCCTTGTTCCCAACTTTTTCATACCAATCATCCATTATTATTGATTCATCTTGACTGCAGGTTTGATCAATTTCCAACTGCTAATGTTGGTATAAATCTCATTTTTTGAAGCTACTTAGGATAAAATATTTTGCGCTAATTTTAATTCTTTTCTAGCTCTCATGCCCTACATTGAAATTTTGGGTAAATCTTAAACTTCTCCTTTTGAACCCAGTGTTACCTGCCTCAAATTCTAATATACCATTTCCCACTCGATAGAGATTTAGTGGTTCTCTATTATCATTAGGACTAAGTCCAAGTTGATGTACTATTGTTTTTATGTGAAAATTTATGTCACCCTTTTGAATTATCGACTATTTCCTCTTTACTGTTTTATCCCACACATTTTCCTCTGAGCAAAACGTAAATGGCTTTTGCAGGAGTGAAGAATGAATGTAAGAAGAGATATGCCCTTGAGATCAGACTTTTGAATTCTGGCAGTCAGAGAGGCATGCCTTCAATTTTAAATCCATTGCTCAGGATTAATAGCAAATATTGGATGGCTCTTCTATATTTCATGATTATCAGTAAATAAAGAAATTATGACTGCTTCATTTAAAGTTAATAATAGCCAGGGAGATATATACTTTAAATTAATCAATTATAGAACCTCAAATGGTAGTATTTTCCCAGTGATAAAATTTAGAAAGCAGGAAACAAGCACAAAAGGAAAATGTAAACACAAAAAAGAAATATGGGAAGAGTTCTATGGTAGGGATTTGTAATCAAGTTCATGAACCAAAATTGCATATTCATTGTTGAATGGAATACCAATTTACTCTGTAAACTTTCACCCAAATCACAGTAAAAGTTTAAAAAGAAGAAACATTTATGCAGAGAGGAAACAGAGGTTGCTAACTGAGAGTTAAAGATGACCGAGTAGTACAAATGTTAACATGCTCAGCTTCTCACTAAAAGACTAATTCCAGAAAATCTGTGATGGAAAGAACTGCTGATAAACTTCTGAAAAATCTGCCATGACTGCCATTTGGAGGGCAGTTCTATTCTGACAGACACAGTACGGGAGCTCTGGTGGCCTAGTGGTAAGAAGCTGCGTTGCAATCTCGAAGGTACGCAGTTCGAGGCCACCAGTTGCTTTGTGGGAGAAGGATGGGCAATCTCCTCCCATGCAATTTACTACCTCTGAAAACCAACCACTATGGCTTGGTCCTGACTCTATGGTACACAACAACAACAACATACACAGTATGGTCATGACACAACTTGATAGCAGCTGTGGCTGGTATCCAGGTTAGTTGTTATTGTTGTTATCTTCAGCAGAGATATTCTTCACTTATGACAGCCCCACACAGCAAAATTGGACTGTTACGATCCTGAAGGTTTTAAATGGATTATTTTTGGAAATATATTGTCCTTTCTTTCTCCCTTGTCTGCCTTTGTCAGACCCCTCAGTGAAATCTGCTCATTATTATGGCAACACAAAAGCCTCCCTTGACATACTAGTGGTGGCTGCACATTCAGTGTATTGGTTTGATTGAGAACCCTGGTCTTTACTGTTGTTAGGTGCTATTGAGTCCACATAACCAACAGCAGCCATGTATACAACAGATTGAATCTCTGTTTTCATGGAAAGAATTCAACCACTGACCCAACTCAGGCAGGGATAAATGAATAAAAGCTCATTTTGAAACTGAAGACCTGATGTGGCTTTTATTGTGATCCCCCTGGGGTAGACATGCCTTGTACTATCCTTCTAATCAGCTTGTCAACCTGATGCTTTATTGTTGTTGTTGGGTACCATCGAGTCAGGACTCACTCATAGCTGACCCTCTGGAGAGTTTTCAGAGGCAATTAATAGCATAGGAGAAGATTGCCCATCCTTTTTGTTGTTGTCGTTGTTAAGTGCTGTTGAGTCCTAAGTGACACGTGGTGACCCTATGAATAAGAAGTCTTGAACACGAAACTTTTATCTTTCCTCCAATTTCATTTATTTTCTAGACGCAAGCTTTCTTTGGAAGTGGATACCACTCCTGTTTCCAAGCCTGTTTTATTCAGGAACTCCACAAAATTTAGGCCCCAGGGCTGCAGGACCAAGGGCCCAAATGCCTTTTTAAACATGAAGCCAAATCCAATCAGCTCACACCCAGTTGAAAGCAAGAGACACACTCAAGTCTCAACCCCAAACCAGAAAACACACCTTTGCAGAATCCAGCCATTCCACTCATCTTCCCATTTTTACTATCCCCTAAAATAAGATCTGCCTAGAGTGCTATTGCTCCCTCTGATAAATGCTATAAAAAAGGTTCTGGTACTAGGACTATTTTTATAGCTGTTTTCTTTGGCAGCTATATACAAACCCATAGGATCATAGGCAATTTATCAAAATAAATGAGATAAATATCTTGGTATATAGAGAATAAAGTAAAAATAAACCACTGACAAGACTGAAAGTCTAACATATTACATATTTCATAGGTCTCTTCGGGCGAGTCTGAAACCAAACCTCTGATCTTCACATTTATACCCAGTATCAGAAGACTACCAACCCACTCCCAGTTGGCTGACACCTCTAAATTCCTTGTTAAAATTCCTGAGGAGTCAAGTGATAAGAATCCAGAAACTATAAATAGGGTAGGATGATTTTTCTTCTTTTATACAAAATAATGAATTGAGATTTTGTTTGGATGTTTATTTCCTTTGTTTAAAGTGAGATGATTATAAAACCTAACTATTAATAAAACTATAATAGGAGCTTAAAGATAATAGTATTTCTAGTTTTCTTTCATAAATTATTCTCAACCTCTTTGACATTCTATTTTTGTTATTTATGCAAAATGTTCTGCCTCTGGGTATCTCACTCATCTCAAAAGAATCTTAAGTTGATAAAATAATTTTTTTTAAAAACTTCACATTTAATCTTTGAAGGAGATAAAATATAAGGTGTTGAGGTGGTTTTTTACATGTAAAATAACAACATTGAAAAATAGAATTCTCAAATTTGGAGTGTTTGTATATGTTGGAAGACTAAGACTCAGGTTTTATTGTTAATATTGTATATTTGTACACAATTTGGGTTTTGTTTTAAATCTTTATTCATGGTTTTAATTTATTCCTAATCTATGAACTATCTAAATTTTTTTTATTTTTTAAAAGACATTTATTTGGTGTTATCATCAGATTATTACATTTAGCAATCAACATCATGGGTGAAAAAAAAATCTATATTAAAACTCTTTTGTCTTTGGAATACTTCCACAGAACAAAATAAAAAATAGCTTGTTATACAATTAGTCACAAATTTGGTCCTCGTGGATTTTTAGCACATAAACATGAGTCTAAAACATGTCTTCTTTGTACCAGCTGGGCACTGTCACCACTGTGCTTGGCTGATTTCACAAATCTGTTGTAACCTGTAGCTTCTCTGTCACTTCTCTGGCTCATCTTCTGCTAAGCTTTGTTTCTTGGCAGTCATTAAAACCATCTGCCACAGTCCTGCCTACTGAAGCTTCTTAAAACACCATAGCCACCTTGGTTTCTTGGTTTGGCACAATATTGATTTCTACCACCATAAAGGCGGTGGCTTCTACCTCCAAAGCTTCCTCTTTTCATGAGTCCAAAATCTGACGATTGATGCTCTAATTGTCAAAATCATTATGGCTCCCACCACTTTCAAAATTACATCTATGTTATTACCAAAACCATTATAACCATCCCTATTACCCCGATATCTTCCACCACCATGGCTACCACCAAAACTACCTCATCTTTTGAAGTTCTCTCCTCATTCAAGATTTGTCATTTCTACCGAAGTCCACAGTCCCACCATTACCACCACCAAAGTTTCCAAAACTATTTTGACTGGCCATCTCTTGCTTTGACAAGGCATTCCTTACTTCACAGCTATGACCATTCACAGTATGCTATTTCTGAAGAACCATTTTATCTAGAGAGTCATGATGATCAAAAGATAAAAAAACAAAACCAAAAACAACCCCATAAAAAAGTTACAAAAGCAAAGCTTTTGTCATTTTTGGCACTAGCTTGGCCAGTCATAATTCCAATCACTTTACTTTTTTCATAGTGCTCAAAATAATAAGAGATGCTCTTCAGTATCTTCTTTAATTTCACCAACAAGGATATTTTTCACAGTTAAGGGGGGGACCTTGTCTTTGAGACTTTTCTCTTGAGAATGCTCATTAGGTTCCACAACCCTTTCATACAACCACATTTATGACTTAGATTTATGACTGTGGCTACTTTTTCCACAGATGAGTATGTAACAAATCCAAAACCTGTGAAGTGTTTAGTATTTGGATCTCTTATTACCACACAGTCCATGAGCATCCTCTTTGCTGATACCGTCTCTGGATTTTCATCTGTTGTTTCAAGCCGAAGCTCCAATAAATGATTTCTGCAGCTGCTCAAGCTCTTTGGGAAACTGAGACTTGATGGCGATGGGAATAAACACCTGAGCGATGCTTCATCGGAGGTGTTCTGTGGCAGAGAGGTGGATGATCTAATTGTTGAAAATATATCCTAAAGAAATAGTACCAAAGAAGAAAAAAAGACTACATGGAAAAATATTTAGGGAAAATAAAAATGACCCAGTTATTTGAAAGACAGTGAGAATGTATCAATCTGACAAAATTATCAGTGTGACTAGAATTCAAAGGGCAGCTCTGGTGGCATAGTGTGTAGGGAGTTGTGCAGCTAACCCGAATGACACTCTTGTTGCTTTGAATCTACCTGTAGTCCACGGACAGAAACGGGCAATGTTCTTCCACGCAAATTACAACTCAATGGAAGAGTTCTGACGCCATGGCTAAGAGAGAGATAAGAGAAAGAGAGAAGAGAGAAGAAGAGAGAAAGAGAGAATGAATTCCATGTAAAAATAGTAACCTTAAAATAGGAAGAGAGAAAATAGACTATACAATGATATTTATACCCTGGTTATACCTATCTAAAAGGAAAGTAGGAATAGGAGTAATATTTTTAAAAATCTAAAGCCTGAAAATGATCTATGTAAGAGTAATTAAAAGGAGTATATTTTTCTTTTTAGAATATACTTTAAAATTGTTCACTACAAATACATGAGATTGGGAATATTTGTGGCTCTCTTGAGTACATTGGAAACAGACAAAATAAGCTGATTGACTGTATCCAACCAGAAACCTCCTGGAATTTTTTATCTGTCAACTCATTTAAAAGTCTATCTCAAAGACTAGAACTGCCAGTTGTCTTGAGCTAAATCTGACTCAAGGTGATGCATGTGTGTCAGAATAGACATCATGCTCCATAGTGTTTTCAATGGTCAGTGTTTCAGAAGTAGATCACCAAGTCTACTTCCTACACTCTTATGAATGGTTTCAATTGTAGCTGAGTACAGTGTTTGTACCTTCCAGGGACTTCTAAACACTAAGGAGGCCAACCTATCTCAGAAACCCCCAAATTTTACATAAGATACATGTATGAGATTTCTCCCTAGCAATAATTCAAGTTCATACAATGCACTCTTTTTTTATTATTAAATTTTACTAGATTTAATGAACATTTACAGGGATTTTGG